CGGTCCATGACTAGAGCCATGTGGAGAAGCGGCGCGTTGAAGACGATCTTCGAACTAGGATGAGTGTTGGTGTCGCCACGAGATGGGTCATTTTCATTATGATGAAACTTTGCGGTAACTACAGTTCTTTGCAGCCTTTCAAATGCGCGTAAGGGAAACTTCACCATTTGCGCTGTTCATTCAGAAATTTGTTCGGTTCAATAGTTTCTGTGGATTTGCAGTGATTCACCCTACGATGATTTCAAGGGTGCCCAAATATCGGAGTAAATAGATTCGGCACTTTGGCCGCGCCCAAACGCAGATGGCGAGTGCTTGTAGATAGCACCTAATCTATCAGGAAAATCTTACTCCTCGCATTACTACCCACTCCTTTACAGGGGGCCGGTATTCACGAAATCGCTAGAAGGTGTGAAATAAAAAGAGCGTGTTAATTAAAGGTTCTTGAAGACCTTAAGGCCGATGTCAGACTTTGCGAATCGCGCGATTCGCTAGCGTCTGCGGTCGCGTCGCGGCCAGTGAATCACTCAATTGGCTGGTACCGCAACGCGACCGCGGACGCTAGCGAATCGCGCGATTCGCAAAGTCTGACATCGGCCTAACAAAACTTGAAGTAACGAGAAAACCACGTACTTCCTTCCCAGTAGCCTGTTCCAGTACCACAGAATTGTCCTCCGTGGAAACTCTAACAGCGACTTTGTGTCCCTGGCTGAGTTCTCGTTGAGATATTGGACGGCACCTCACAACAACCTTCACTTTCTCTGCCTCCTCCATCTGAACTTTTTACGTGATCGACCATTCCGCGTCAATGAAGGCAATCCAAGCCAAATGAATAATGTAGGTAACAGCAGGAACCGTTGACATTGAAATACAACGAAATTTGGAAAGATTTATGCATGAAGCACACGATTCGACCACGATAAGCACTTGGATTATTAAGTTAATTTGAATACAAGGTGGGACAAAAAAAGGAGATACGACGGATTTCAAGTGGCTGAAGGGAGAATGAAAAAAAGCTCTTAATCGAGCCGATTTTAGCAAGAGCTGCACAAGATATACAAAAAGGTTGACGCTGGCTACGTTCGACAGCAATGTTTTACTTCGATATTGCAACTTCATCAGTATAAAGACAGTATCAATATCTAGCTGAAGGATCTATTTCGAATGGAAATGAAACGCTCTACACGATTTCGCAGTGACACGGATGAGAGACGTCGTAGACAGCTAGATAGGTTACTGAGCTTTTTGCAACATGTATGACGGATTAATCTCAAAAACAAGTAAGCTTTTAAACACAACACTTTTTTTAGATCCATCAGCTGGAATCTCCACTATATATAATTCTTAAATAAACAAGATAATTGTGAACAGTGAGTGGTTCGTAAAACTATTTCTTTAAGAATCAATCAAATATAGAAATAAAACAAGGTTATTAGCTTGTAGCACAATAAAATTGTTGAGAACAGAAATATCGTCGTCATCCAGAGATGAAGAGATGAATTCTTCAAAAGGAAGCTGCAGTTCAGTATTTAATCACTACGAAAACATGACTATAATAGGACAAGAGCCACAAACGTCAACGATTTCTTAGGACGGTAATTCGCTGTGGGATCATAAATTGATCTTAAAATTCAAGACAGGGACATCCTCACTTCTTAATGTACTGTGCGAAATGCCTTCTGAACAAATGTAGCCCTCCATGCACATAGAATAAAGTTTGGTAGAATACTTTCAAAGCGTCACAATATATATCACAAAAAGCACAGGAAATTAAGGAATCAAATCGAATTTACATACAAATCCAAGAAGAGCACATGCGAAAGTAGACAACAGCAGGATGAGGCAGACCGGGAAATTTAAGTAACCACCTTATTAGACAGGTAGTTTTATTCCAACAGACAAGGCCTATGCTCATGGAGTCACAGCTCGAGTGATGAAATCCAGTAGACGTCGAGCATACTGCAACCAAAACTTTTGAATTGAAAAATAAGAAAGAGAGCACAAGTTATATAATACGCTGAAAGAATCTTTGAAGTGAAAATTTCAGGTTTTTTTTGTGTTCGAACATTAACTACACAAGTGAAAACTAAAGGTTATGCTCACTCCTCTCCTATCGAAGTCCTATTTGAAGAATTGAATCACCAACCTGATCTGGTTTGACAGTGCTAATGTTCTCAGCATCTGAACCATACTTGACCGGTTTTTGCTGCCGTAGCTGTACGCTTCTTAACACCATAATAAGTGAGAATATCCACCAGTCCAATGAAGTAGATCAGTTTCTTTGGTGAATCTAAATCGAGAAGTATAATAAATCGAGATTCGAATCGTTCTACGTCGTAAAAAAATACTTGGAAACCTACCTGGATGACTAGCAATAGCGTAGTACTCATCGTCCAGATCAGGCCCACCAGATAAAGGCGGGAACGCTCCTGTTGAAGGGAGTGGGGACTCTGGCGGAGTCGGACATAACTCATCTCCCGATTCTTCGCTAACGTGCTCTATTGGTCGCCTCGCTAACTCTTCTGCCGCACGCTCGCAGTCATGAATGCCTAAAATGCTCCATTCAGAACTGACAACCTTGGCAATTTAGGGATCTAACCCAAAAGCAAGGAGTAGTCCATGAGATGCATCTTCGATAGCCAAGTGGTGTCAGAAGCCAACATATCCAATAACTGGTGACGTGTTTCCTGATAATAAATAACTATGGTTTAGAGCTTAAGCTGTAAGCTATATCTGAAGAAATAGTGAAGAGCAACCCACATCAGGAAGGCTCAGCTTTTCATTCATTTCCAAGAAATCGTTGTCTTTCAATGTAGGGACTTCTTTCGCCTTCTCCTTTTCCGATGCTGCACGCGATACCGTGGAACCCTTGAATCAAGAATTACCCACTTCCCCAAACAAGTAGTACAAAATCCGGAAATCTCTAATGGTGTGATAGAATACCCATCCCATCTATAATAGTAGCATTATAATGCGAATGAATTTCCATAAGGTACTAATTTCAACAATAAGTACGTCAGGTATAATTGAAATTTCAAGACGAACAATCAAAATAAAAAATGCTACCCAACATACCACAAGAATACATGAAGGAATTTTTGGAAAAAACAAGGACGAATTGAAAGAGAAGTATGACTAAAAACTAACCTTAAGATCGAACTTAGTATGTACGTTGTACTTCCGTCCAAATACATTTCGCATTACAATTAAGTAAGTCTCAGTGCCTTCGATTGTGAGTCTAAAAAATCAAGATTTGTTCAGTTCACAACATACACAACTTCTATATTTATCCTTACAAGTCCAGTAATGTCTTCCTAGGCACAGAAATTTTTGATTGATCAAACATTGCAGTTCTACATAACCGTTTCATATCCCGTAAAATTTATGATATACAATTCCAAGTTGTAAAAATCTGAGCTGAAAGTGTTACCCATTGAAAATTACAAATGTGGTTTTAGAGGAGAATCCCTTGAGTTTTCAGTTTGTGCACCCGAATACCCACGGTGTAAGTCATATGCGAAAGAATGAAGAAGTTACATTAAATGCAGTGCACATGTATTGTCGCTATATGTAGCCTCGAAGGAGAAAAAGTCATTACATGCCGTATCCAATCGATTTCCTTTCCCATTTCGCACTTCTTTCATTTGCATCTACTAAGCCGCGTTAGTTGTCGATCTTGCGATTTCGCGATTCCCGAAGTATATTCGTATCGAACGTGCGATCGCAAAATCGTGCACTACAATGGCCTCGGGTGCCATTGAACGTACCTTTCGGTGAATTTCGGAAACAATCATACGATCTCCTTCTTATGAGAGCATCCTGTTCAAGTTTTTATTATGTTATTATGCAGCTTGAATCTAGGCGAACAGAAAAGGTATAGGAATTGATTACTTTATGGGAATCTACAACGTAAACTGTCGACGCCCGCCAAGAAGAAGAGCTGAGCTAATTGTAGTGGAATAACTCACCTGTAAAGTGCTAAATACTGAGGTAACAATGTTTTCCCTTGCTTTTCCACCACATATTCGTGATAATCCCGCAAAACCGAGTGCAGTTCTGCAACAGCTTCGGAATCCATCGACTGCAAAGAAGTACATAGCATAGAAATGCACTCACGAAGACCCCTTGCAATAAGACTATACTTACTTTTATAACGAACTTCTTATCAAACGATACGAAAAGTCTTGGAGGAGCACCAGTCTTCGAGCCGTCTAGCTGATCTGGCTCCGGTTCATACGTGGTTAAAGAGCGGAGATACTCAGTTGAATCAACACCGAATTGCTCACGAAGGTTGCGGAAGACGTTTGGGCAAGTATTCTTTTACCTTTAAGAATTTAATTCCATTAATTCCAAAGGGAAGTGAAAGATAGCAAAAGAAATCTAATATAACAAGTCAGCATCTCGAATGACGGAGATGAAAGAATACTTACAAACCTTGTAATGGCTTGGCATAATATCCTTATTGAAGTAGTGGTTATCGATCTTGACTTTAGAATATGCCTTGAAGTCGTCTGGCATGAGCAAACCCGGAGGTGGAACATGTTCCAGCTGACCGATCGTATGATTGACTCCCCACATAAACACCGAAAGCAATGGCTCCTTAACAGAAACAATTTGAGCAGAAGAACTTCTCTGCAGTCCGCGCCTGTCGTGACACTCTTAATGCGGAAGGCCGATGTCATAGTTTGCGAATCGAGCGAATCGCTGGATCCGAGCGTTGCGCCAGCGAATCGAACGTTGCACCAGCGAATCGAACTTTGCGCCAGCGAATCGGCAACGTTCGATTAGCGGGCGCAACACAGGGATCCAGCGAATCGCAAACTATGACATGGGCCAAAAGTAGAAAATTAAGAGAAGTAAGAAAAAAATTATCGGACCTTGGCACGGAAGAGTTTCCACTTAGGCACAAGAATTTTTCCTTTTCCCTTAATTTTGCCTAGTGTGCGTGGAGTTTTCTTCTTTGAAGACATCGCTGACTGTCAAATATTCAAAACCTAAAATATGAATTTACACCAACAAGTAGTATGTGAGCCACAGGACATTCTCGCCGAACAGATGAGCCTAATCATGAAAAAACGGTATTCAACATAACAAAAAACTGGAGTAGTTTCGCAAAGTACTGAATGAAAAACAACTGAAAAGATGAGTAATGATCCCAAGTAAAAACTCACAACTCTGTAAATTCGACGAAAGGCGGATATCGAATGTATTCAGAAAATTACGGAATAACGAAAAGAAAGTGTTTAGAAGAAAGTAAGTATAAGATATATAGATAAGAATGAGTCGCATTTGAAAAGGTAAGCTCCACCTGCAGCTGAATTATACTTCATAATCATAATATTCAGCCCTACATCTAACCACTCAAAGTCAAACCAAAGGGAGCAGAAGGCTACCAAGTAGAACGAGAAAATTTCCATTCAACTCAATCCAGCCTACCCCTTCTCCTCCTCCTCAACGGAGTCGGCACCATAATTTTACCTCGCTATCACTGCGCCATGATGAATCACTACAAATTATGTATCGGGCCTGAGAAGGTGTTCAGGTTTTTTATGGAGTAGAGCAGCACAACTCATTAGGAAAACAAGGCAAGCCCAGTAACCGAGTCATGCTTCCGCTGCCGATGACAAAACGTACGTTTCAGCAATGATTCACTATCGCTAAAAAACAACAACAAATGGTTGACGTAGTTCCAACACTGTCAAGAGGCTAGGTGCTCCGGTCTCTGCCTCCGAGAACCTGGGGGCGTGCGATTCTCCCGATGGGTAATGTCGCTATCTCCGCGTGTTCTTCATAAGCTTGCTCAAAACAACGGCTGCCACCACTGTGGTTTCGGGGCGCTTTAATCGACTAAATTCAAGCCACTTTGTATCAATTTACACTATTGGAATAAACAACTTTCCGAAGCCTTAACTCAATGATATTGAAACTTCTTTACACACTTTCAGAAGGACGCGGAGTACCATTTGGCTGAGAAAAAACATCGTAGAATAACTGATAGATTCTTCTACAAAAGTCTCATTCACGTGGGCAATGAGTCTCAGCAATACACCGATGATCGCCGCGCGTGACCTGGGCCAGAGGTCGGATGACCCCGACTGGGAGAACCGAACCGAAAATCGCCACACAACTCCGAAAATGTGAACATCGTCTCCACAGTTATTTACGGAAGTGCTTAGCCTCGGTAAATATTTGCTTAAGGAGTTTCAGCGATGATTTGCATGAAACAGGACATATCACATATGTTACAAATAAGATAGAATTCATGGCCTCTAGGGGTCGGGCCTACTTTGCAGTTCGAGTGTGGAATAAAAGCGTGTCGATCGTGCAATCGCATGATTGATACGGGTAAAACGGTCAACAGAATCGAAAGAAATTATGACTCAATGTAGGTAATTTCACGACAGTTTATGACAACAAGAGAGCATTTCGCTTACTGTTCGAACTGTTTCAATCAAATTTGAAAAGTACAAACATC